CTTGCAAGCACTATCTCTCTCACCTACCATTAGGTCATTAATATTTGACACAGAGTTTGTGAGCAATAGGTCAAGTGTTTTGCCTTTGCAGTGGGTAGGTGTTAACACACATTGTTGAAGGCCTAGATCAACAAAAGATTCAACAAAAGATTGCTCAATAGGACAGGAGCTGGCCAGGGTAGACCAGGAAACTCCGGTCAGGTTAAAATCTCCTAGTATGAAGACTTTACTCAGTCCTCTTCTTCTGAGAAGAGTTTTCAAAGACTCAACAATTTTTTCATGATTTGCGGAGCCCAGTGTACCAACACGATAACATGTGCATACAACAAACTTAATTCCAGTGGAGGTCTTAAATTCCACAGCAAGAATTTCTGCACCATACTTGAGACGAACTTCCTTTGAAGTTAGATCAAGGTCTGCTCTCACTGCAATCATGACCCCTCCACCATTCCTCCTAAACCGGGTTGGATTAGAAGGATCTGGTGGATGAGTTTTTTTCGATCTATCAGAGCGAAATATCTTATATCTGTCAGGGTGCAGAAATTCACTATCAGCAATAGAACTCTTAAATCAGGTTTCGTTAAGTATTGCAATATCTATCTTAGCCTCATTAAGATAAGTCGACACTTCAAGACATTTAGTGGTATCAATCATTGGATGGGCATTGTTCAGTTCACCAAAAGGGATGAGACCTTGAACATTCTGAAAGTAAACATTCAATTTATTACCATTCCCAACTCTAACACCTATGGGAGACGGCCCTGGGTTTACAATTCCAGGGTTTACTAAAACTATCAAAAAACCATTCATCAAAAACAACCAAATTATGCATCCCGTGAGTGTATTGCCGGTTCTACCAGTAAATATGCAATTTAAGTTCTTATGGATTGAAATCTGGCAAAATCTATATAAACCATCGAAACTGTAATTATTCCTCAGATAATACATATTTGCTAAATATAAAAAGAAATAAACTGTAAAGCATCGGCACAAGTTAGGAACTGGGTATGTTGGTACAAAGGCTCGGCAATCATAAGTGACCCTAGAAAAAGCCAACCCACTTACCCCGACATATGTGATAGTGATTAGCGAAAAGTGACATATGAATATAACATAAAAAATATAAAATAATAAGCGAGAATCAATGCAGCTGTCTAAATAATCAAAAATACTACCTGTACCACGTCTACGGTTCTGATGTTTGATGGATTTTGCAAAAGAATTTCCACTAAACACTCCAACTCTAAATCTGTATGTTACTAAATCGATCATGGTGTTTTACAGGTGAGTATACTTGCCAGACTACAACTGCATATCATTAGCTTAACAAGGTTCAGAAGACAGCACAAAAGAACTACTGATAGATATAAGGATTAAAATATCTACTGTGGATGGCACGAATATAAAATCTGGCCAACACACCCATACCTTTCTGAGGATTGGGGTGAATGCCTTTGTTCTCAAATAAGGGATCAAATCTCTTAACAGGCTCACTTAGAGCTCTCTTAAACTTTGTAAAGGGATAAAACACATCCATGAAAAAGAACCTCCTAAATACACACTCATTGTATAAAATCCTATTAAAATCCATTACCCTCTTGTTAGTTAATTTATCGTTATCATTCTGTAAAGGTAATGGCAATAGAGATTGAACATATACCTTACAGTTGGGAAATAATAGGCCTATCTTACCAAAAAGTTGCTTTACTGGTCCCCTCAAAATACCAATTTTATCCCCCACACGCCTAATATCGTTTGTGCCTACGCTGATCAGAAGCTTCTCAACGTGGACATCAGGATGTGCCGTGCAGTAGTCCTCCAACTGTTTCTGGACTTTGTCCATTTTTGCTCCGCCTTCTGCAACATTTACGACTGTGACTTTCCCTTTTCCCAGCTTTGCGGAGTCCAATCTTTGAGCATAAGAGTCTCCAGCAACCAACGTGACTCTTTGCGCAGGTACTTGGGCTTCGGTGCCAGAAGCTGGTGTACTAGTCTCTGTGCTGATATTCTGAGAGCTAACTTGGCCACCCGATTTCACAATAGCTCGAAATGACAGGGAGTATCTTACTTGCTCCGATTTCTTTGGAGGCTCTCCCTTTGTGGCCGGCTCTGCTCGCACAGCATGCCTCAGATTCTGCTGTGTCCCAGGCCGCATTACAACAAGACTTATTATAGAGAAACATTGAAAACACTTCTCAGCTGAATTTTATTGGAATTTTTAGTTTGTTTCGCGAACTAAATATATGTATGGTTTCATTTTAATTCCGAGATCTACATTCCGATCGAGAAATGACCTTCTGTTAGGTTTGAAAATAATATCACATTCATCTCAGGTAATTGTGATATTCTACCTGAAGAAAACAAGTGCATTATCGAATGTGAGACCTCCACAAAAAGTAGTGCTAACCAGTCAAAGTAGCAGCATGGTGAACGCGGTCTTCCTGGTCTCCCTCATCTTCGTGTTTATCTTCGTGGGACTTGTCATCTTCCAGTTCAAGCCTAGCCAACATTGTGGGCCATTTAGAGGTTTGTCGGTCTTCTGTTTTTGCAGGCCCAACTCTTCTGTGATAATCTAACTATAGTTAGCTCATCTTCTTTCAAATCACTCATATCAATACTATTATAACCTCAGTTTTTATGGACGGTTCATTTCGGAATAAAAAACGTTTTTTACCACTTTTTGAAAAAAAAACGATTGAAAACGGTTTTAGTTTATATTTTTCAACGATCTTAAAAAAAAACGTTTTTAACGTTCATAACAACTAAGGTTATAACACTAAGTCTCACCCACTCTCCGACACCAGGTAACGAAAGAATCCACGAACCTCTGGGATTCCTTATTGAAAATTCTGGAGGGTTCAAAACGTACATCTACGATAATCTGAAGATGACGGCAGTGACCATTTCTATCGTGATCGTTGTTCTCCTTATCATCTACTACTTCAAGTAAGATTACTTGTTTTTAAGCATTGTTACAGATGGAAAACAAATCGGAGACAGCATCTCTAAGTTTAACCAGTTATATCACTATCTCTTAGGATAAAACACCATTCTAATATAAATCTGTCAAAAAAGCAGTAAGTTACATAGTTATAAGATATGTTGGTTCCCGCAGGAGCCTTGCTGCATCAAGGAACTTGACTATACGACTACTGAGAGATCAGATCAAGACGGAGCATGTTGATAAACAATTCCTCATCGAACACATAAAAAGTCAGATCACAGGTCAGTACAGTTGTAATTTGTAATCAGTCCGCCAACCTTGTAACCATTCTGTGATATCTATATATATATGTGTTAATATTGATCATGATCAATGGTTTGGCACATATAGAACAAGTTAACTATGTGATTCATGGCAGTTGACACTGATACTTGACATTTATTATATGTACAACCATAACATATTGAATTTTGACAAACAAAATTATAAAATTTTGAAATAAAACTCACAATAATTACAACAATGACAGACATACAAAACAGGGGGGGGTCCAAGGGGAACTTTGGGGAGTTTTGGGGAACTTTTTTTTGGGGAACTTCAGGAAACCTGGGGGACCTTCCCAAAGTTCCCCAAAAAATTATCAATGAAACAAATAATTTTGGGGAATTTTGGGGAACTTTTTTTTGGGGAACTTCAGAAAGTTCCCCAAAATTCCCCAAAGTTCCCCAAAAAAATTATCATGCCAAAAAAATTATCATGCTGCAAGTATCAACAAGTAAGTTAAGATTATACCTTATAATAACATACATGTTAACATTAATGGGTATTAATGTATATTAGAGAAATTTTGAATAATTTTGAATAATTTTGAATAATTTTGAATAATTTTGGGGAATTTTGGGGAACTTTGGGGAGTTTTGGGGAACTTTTTTTTGGGGAACTTCAGAAATCTTGGGGGACTTTCCCAAAGTTCCCCAAAGTTCCCCTTGGACCCCCCCCCCCCCCCCCCCCCCCAAAACACCAGTAAATCTACTGTAAGTCCATGGAGCAAAATCTGGATTTACAGTAAGACTAAGACGATTTACTGTATTTTTAAAGCTAAACAAACGTTTCGTATCACTTTAATGTTTTAAATGATACCCTTTTTTATTTTTAATAATCCCCTGTTTTAAATAATACCCCTCCATGTTACAGTAACCGAACTTTGCTTTACAGGGAAACCCCTGCAAGCCAACAAGAAAGGACGGGATGGTACGATAAGCAGAATTTCTCAAAACAGCAACGGGGACTTGGGAAATAAAAAGAAGAACATGACCATTCACAGATATGCTAACCCTACAATGAAAGTATCATAGTCAGAGATTAAGGAACTGTAAACTTAAAGCTCGGTGATTTTGGCTAACCTTTATTTTGATGACGATTTCCGTTAATAAATAAACTGGAAACATTTAATAACAATTTTAGTATCTGGCGTGTTTATTTTCTTTCTGGATAAAATATTTATGCAATACACAAATTCTATAATTTGATTTATCAGAATTTTGATAACTTTGATAATATTAATACAGTGTTTCGAACAAAGTACGTATGAATTAATTTTACCAAAACCCATAATTGGGTAGAGTGGACCACTGCAAGTGTCTCCATTTCCCAAACAAAAGGAAATAACCGACAACCGACCTCAAATACAAAGTATACCGAAATGAAATCGGTCGCTCGCTTTGGGGCTTCTCCAAGGTCTCTTCATAATCATTATATATAGGTAATTATAATTGATATCATTTACTTTTAGTTTATTTGTTAATTTTAAACATGGGTTCCCCTCAATTTTAATGCAGAATACAGATCCAGGTTCTATAATAGTAATCAATTGTTTTTTATCATATCTCTGTGCTTTACTCTTGATCGAAGAGCAAAGACTCTAAAGGAGCAAGGGAACATGTAGGTGCGGTAATTTTTTGCAAATAGTGCGATTCCGCACATGTTTAGATTTTTTTATATGCTGCAAATTTGTGATCACTTGTGATGATGTTGAACACAAACAAATAAAACACCATTTTCAAAAGAAACGCCCAATAAAACCTTAAACCATGAATGACCAATAGTCAAAGACCCCTAACAGCCAGCTATGAGAGTCCTATCCAAATATTCTAGTAACTTCTTCCGAACAAAGTGTAAGCCGTGGCGGGTTTGCAACAATTTTGTTGTATACATGTCTCACAGGTAGCATCAGCGGGCTGATCGAAGGGAATGCAGAGACTCTTAGCACCCATAGCGGGCGCCTTATCATCCTCCGTCACCTCTGTCCGAGCACTTTCCTTCTTGATTATTTCTTCGCAGGAGATGTCTGCAGGATTTGGGGAATGTTAGTGAAGAATAGCAAAGGACACTTTAATTAAATGAGGTTTAATCAAACCTTTATCATAAATACATATTGTAAAAACTATTTGCTTCTCTAAATTAACAGTTCAAATAATCGCACACACAAACACAAGGAAATATCCCACACTGTAACTAACCTCCACAATACGGAGCCTGGATGATCTTCTTCTGGTCGAGCAGCTTGCAGAACTCCTCCCAGTTTGTAGTGACAGCCATGTTAGCGTCCCTCTCCACTAGAGCCCTGTTGTACATGTCGTCGTGTATTGTGTCAAGGAGCTTGCTGAGTTGGTCGTCCAGGTTCTCATTCTGGAGGGTTGCTTTAACACCGGTATCTCTCCTCACTACCACCACCTGGTCAAGGTTAAAACATTAACACCTGTATCTCTCCTCACTACCACCACCTGGTCAAGGTTAAAACATTAACACCTGTATCTCTCCTCACTACCACCACCTGGTCAAGGTTAAAACATTAACACCTGTATCTCTCCTCACTACCACCACCTGGTCAAGGTTAAAACATTAACACCTGTATCTCTCCTCACTACCACCACCTGGTCAAGGTTAAAACATTAACACCTGTATCTCTCCTCACTACCACCACCTGGTCAAGGTTAAAACATTAACACCTGTATCTCCCCTCACTACCACCACCTGGTCAAGGTTAAAACATTAACACCTGTATCTCCCCTCACTACCACCACCTGGTCAAGGTTAAAACATTAACACCTGTATCTCCCCTCACTACCACCACCTGGTCAAGGTTAAAACATTAAAATCTAAGACGTTCAATTTTAACAGGCAAGACTCTAAGAGAAGGGGTTGGGAAAAGCTTGCACATATACAATTTCTTCAAAATAGCTATTGTATAGGGGTCGTTCACATATTACGTAATCACTTTTTGAACAATTTTTATATCCTTAACGGACGAGAGTAATAGTTATGGAGCATACCTGATTGTTCTTGAGATCTCGAGGTCCGATTTCAATCCTCACAGGTACACCCTTCAGCTCCCAGTGGTTAAACTTCCATCCAGTATTATAATTCTCCCTCAGATCAGCATGAGTCCTGACCCCTGCTTTTTGTAAAGTCTTCTTCATCTCCGTGCAGTGAGTGTTAAGTTGGTCTTTGTTGGCGTCAGTTACACCACATGGTACGATTACTGCCTGGGGAGATAATGTTTGTCAACAAACAAACAGGTAAATATAATGTTGACAGTTGAAAAGCTGTTGAAATAGAGATAATGAATGAAATTACCATGACTGCAGACGTTGAAAAACGAAATAGAGTCCATTATTATACTTGTCTATAAATAAACAAACTGAAACTGAAACTGAATTGGAGTAATAAAAAATAAAATGGTACTTGGTTTACCAAGTAAAATAGAAGTTAAGCAGTTATAGTACCTGGTACATGGCCACTCTGGGAGGAAGGACGAGCCCCTTGTTGTCGCCGTGTACCATAACCACAACACCGATACTTCTGGTGGATAAACCCCAACTGTTCTGGTGAGCAAACCTGGCAGATAACGTTATTCTAAAATCTGTTGCAAGAGGTCAATAAGGTGCCGTAAAGGTGCCGTAAACAGTAAAATCTGTTGCAAGAGGTCAATAAGGTGCCGTAAAGGTGCCGTAAACAGTAAAGGGGCCGCAATGCATGATGTACATGCAAATCTTAAAATCTGATAACGTTATTCTAAAATCTGTTGCAAGAGGTCAATAAGGTACCGTAAAGGTGCCGTAAACAGTAAAGGGGCCGCAATGCATGATGTACATGCAAATCTTAATTTAATACTCAGTAAAATCTGATAAAACATCAAACCGTCAAACGAGAAGACAAATCAGAGGGAGTAATAAATCCTGCTCCCCTACATTTATAAAAATATAAAATCTAAAACTCAGATGGTGACTAACAGTTTGTCGCCGGTGGTGGAGTCAGGATCCTCGAACTGAATGTTGAACATTTTGCTGAAGTTCTGACCGAGATGATGAGATGTTGCTCCCTGAATACCTCGTCCTGTCGCGCTCACATACCTGGGCAATGGGTAGGGATCACGTGGTGTGACGTCATATCATATTTCGAAATGTTATAAAGAAAGTATTCAAAATTACAAGGAATCGTTCTGAGTTGGTTTAAAACGTTCTTTGACTTCCAGAAACTTCCATACTAATTACTAAGCCACCTTACCCTTCAACAGTAGTGGTGAAGTCTCCTCCTGCAAACTTCTCTTTCTCAGTCTTCTTGCCCTTAACAGTTGGTATAGCTAACAGTTCCTTGTACACGCCGTGGTACAGATCCAGTATTTCAAACACCTGAAGTACGGTTTAGGTGGTAAATATTCAGAATATTATACAATTTGCCGGGATTATAATAACATACACAGTGGATACGTACATTTTGTGTGAAAAGTAAGGAAACACGCCCTCAAGATAAAAATACACTATTTTGTTGTATGAAAGGCATCCATTAAATGCACTGGCAACAAATCTCTCTTAACTCCAGCAACTGAAATGGATTATCTCTTTATGCTCTTTGTTTGTTTATCACTAGTGAGGACATCTGTTACCTGTGGGACTAGTGCCTGTTACATCTCTACTATAATTCAGAGAATTATTTCTGTAGGATGTACGACCGCCCACGTGCAAATTAGACGAGAAATAGGAAGTTGCATAGTAACCATGGTAACGAGGGTTATTAAGTTGTTACACGCACGTGCACTTGCAATGATTGTTTTAACGTCATTTTGATCGGTTTTGTTGATATTACGCTGTGTTTAGTACGAGCAACATTTTAATTGGCTGTATCTTCGGTTGTGTAGGATATTTTTTGACGCGATTTAAACTTACTAACAAAAATACTATTAGCTTCCTCCCTGTGACCACGGGTTTTCTAGTCTCTACTATAATTCAAAGAATTATTTCTGTATCATGTATGTATGTACGACCGCCCACGTGCAAATTTGATGAGAAGTAGAAAGCTGCATAGTAACCATGGTGACGAGGATTGTTACACGCACGTGCGCGTGCAATAATAGTTGTTACGACATTTTGATCGGTTTTGTGGTAATTACGTTGTGTTCAGTGCGGGCAACATTTTAATCGGCTGTATCTTCGGTTGTGTAGGATATTTTTTTACGCGATTTAAACTTACTAACAAAAAATACTATTAGCGCACTTCCCTGTGACCACGGGTTTTCTAGTCTTACTTATAATTCAAAGAATTATTTCTGTATGTACGACCACCCACGTGCAAATTAGGTGAAAAATAAGAATTTGCATAGTAACCATGGTAACGGTGTTGAAACGCGCACATGCACGTGCAATGATTGTTTTAACGTCATTCTGATCAGTTTTTTGGTAATTACGTTGTGTTCAGTACGAGCTACATTTTAAAGGGCTCTATACTCGATTATGACGGATATTTTTTGATGCTATAAAAACTGACTACCAAAAAATAGAAACCTACTAGCTTCATCCCTGTTCCCACGGGCTTTCTAGTCTAACTTATAATTCTAAAGATCTTTTTATGTCTGTATGTCTGTACGACCGCCCACGTGCAAATTTGATGAGAAATAAGAAGTTAGGTAAAAAGCAAAAGGTTGCATAGCAACGGTGTTGTAATGCGCACGAGCACGTTCAAGGATTGTTGGAACGGCATTTTGATCGGTTTTGTGGTAATTACGTTGTGTTTAAAGTGTTTTACATTTAAATCGGCTGTATCTTCGGTTAAGATGAACATTTTTTGATGTGATTAAAACTTTCTTTCAAAGAACACTACTAGCTTCACCCCTGTTACCACGGGCTTTCTAGTCTATATTATAATTCAAAGAATTATTTCTGCTGTACGACCGCCCACGTGCAAATTATATGAAATAGGAAGTTAGGTAAAAACCAAAAGGTTGTATAGCAACGGTGTTGGAATGCGCACGTGCACGTGCAAAGATTGTTGGAACGGCATTTTGATCTGTTTTGTGGTAATTACGTTGTTTAAAGTGTTTAAAATTTAAATCGGCTGTATCTTTGGTTGGGAATTGGGATGAGTATTTTTTGATGCGATTAAAAGTAGTATTATAATAATGCGAAAGATTATCTTTGTCTGTATGTCTGTATGTATGTACGACCACCCACGTGCAAATTTGATGAGAAATAGGAAGCTACATAGTAACCATGGTAACGGTGTTCAAAAGCGCACGTGCACGTGCAAAGATTTGCGAGCGACATTTTGATCGGTTTTGTGATAATTACGTTGTATTTAAAGTGTTTTACATTTTAATCGGCTGTATCTTCGGTTGGAATGGATATTTTTGGATGAGATTAAACAATTTTTCAAAGAATACTACTACTAGCTTCCTCCCTGTTACCACGGGCTTTCTAGTCTATACTATATTTTAAACTTGATGAAATCGTTTAGGGAATCGGAATACGTCTTACAACGTTGTCGTCATTGTCAAATAAAATCCATACTTTCTACAGTACAGAGCTAGATGACGAAGAGAAATTACAACATAACTGATTTTTTAAATTTCCTCGAACAAAGCTTTCTACTAGCGGGTTTTTAGTATATAATAATACTAATAGTACTAGATTGACGTAAATCAGTCTCCAAAAAACAAAAGTTGTCAGAAGTGGGATTTGAACCCACGCCCACATTCATGGACCAGAGTTTGAATCTGGCGCCTTAACCACTCGGCCATCCTGACATGTTTCAAGGAGAACTTTGCTAATTTTATACCGCTGAATAGAGCCTGCGTCACTTTATTATTGTTTCCATACATGAATTGTGAGTAGCTGCAGATATCTAATGTCATTACCTCATAGATAATATAACGTTATATTATGCTTCTTATCGTCTTACCGGGGGTGGAAAAAGTTTATGTTCAAAAATGCTATATATATATAATGATGTTTGAATATAATATTAATAATAAATTGAAATTTAATATCACCGCTTTTAAGATATATAATATAACTTATACTCAGCAGTGTTTAGACTAATCACTATTACAATTCGAATAATTATCTTTGGATGTATGTATGTAGTCTATGTACGTATGAATGTATGTACGACCGCCCACGTGCAAATTAGATGAGAAATAGGAAGTTACATAGTAACCATGCAATGGTAAAGGTGCTGAACGCGCACGTGCAAGGGGGTCGTGCAAAGATTTTTGGAACGGCATTTTGATCAGTTTTGTGGAATTACGTTGTGTTTAAAGTGTCTTACATTTAAATCGGCTGTATCTTCGGTTGGGATGAATATTTTTTGATGCAATTAAAACCTTCTTTCAAAAAATGCTACTAGCTTCTTCCCTGTTGCGGCTTTCTAGTTGAATATAAAGTGAGGCTGTCGTCATTTTGAAGAGTTATTGGCGAACTCGGTACCATAGCTGGTAGAAGTTGACCCTTTGTTCGGTGCCACGTGAGACTACGTACAAGAAATATAAATTGTGTGTACAACTGAACTGAAATTTAAATGAAATGAGTGTCTCTTAAATCTATAGGACAAACTTGGCTTTTGATTTGACGGAGCAATATTTTCACCTTTTAAAATTAGCTTTATTACTCCACATTCCACATTCTTTATACTTCCCGCCCTCCATATTCTTAATACTTCCCGCGCTTCAAAGCTTCAATGGCAAAAAATTAGCTTCACTCCCACATACTTGGCAAAGCGGGGAAATGGTTATAACGAGGTCAATTTCAAATGTTAGTTTAGTACTTTACAGAGTTCTCCTCGATAATGTTATTTTCATGGCACGGTAAAGGTTCAATAATTGGCAATTCGGTAATCCGCCGATGGACACTTAAGGTACGGTTAAGGCCTAATTAAAGCACAGTTAAGTCACGGATAACACACAAGGGTTAGTTATCACTCGGGCACTTAATGCACAGTTACCCCACACTTAAGGGACAGTTAACAGATAACACCTGGGGGAAAACTTAGAAACTGACATTCTTTCTAGCTCTTAATCGGCATATTTCATGCGGATAAATGCTATTTTGTAAAACTGTTGTGCTCGATATAACTTCAAATTAGCATCAGTTGTTACTTGTGTTCATAACTTCGGCAACTCCTTTAATCATCGTGAACTTTCTCATAACTTAATTTAGGTAATAAATAAATTCAATGCCATAATTAATTGCACTACAGAAATATGTGTGTAAACTGTGGGTAGATGTTATTTTTAATATTACTGTGCAACAGCAGTCAGCAACTAATGAAATCAGACCGCCTACTCCACGATGGCATCTAATACTACTACTATTACTAACGCAGCACTTATCAAAACCAGCTGTTACTTACAAATATTGAAATTGTTAGTTATTGGTCGGTAACAGATATGAAGTGAGTAGAGACTAGAGACAAGTGGTACCTGCTGTTAGGGGCTGGGTGCTTACGGATTAGAGACTAAGAATTGCAGCATTAAGATCTGTGTTTTGACATGTAAACTTTCTTTCGCATGAAATGTGTGGACCTCTTGTGCTTAACTGAATATCGTACAGTTAAACGTGCACAAGCCGTGCTTCGTTTGAGCCAGCCTTTGATTTTGTAGCGTAATTTTTGCTTTTTGAAGGTTTTGAGATTTTTACTTTATTAGTTAAACAATTATTTTAGAGTTCTATGTTTAATTATTGAAATATTCGTAATCTTTTAAAATTCAATTTTTCGAGATTCTAACAGATTCTTCTTTAATTAAACTGTAACTGCAAAGATTTCCACAGCTCATCTGGTGACCTGTCTAATAGAGACTTGCCTCAATAGAAACTCTCTATAATTCAATGACACTTTCTCGACTCTGGCACAACACCAGATGTGAAAACATTCCTCTATTCCTATAGGCTATATTTCACTTTAGCTAGGCTTAGTCCACATACTGGCCGCTAAAAGTTTGAAGTTACAATAAAATTACACGTATAGTGTAATTCTATTGTAATTTAGAAGCCAACTTTTTCAGGGTGTGGTATATAATTATGGTATTTCATTTTCTGCCGAATGGCGATGGAACAGTTTTGATTTGAATACTTAATTTTCATGCGCGGTAGTGAAGCATAAAGAATTAAAATGTTGTCTGACAGTTGCGTTAGTTTTCAGATTTCTTGCATTGAGATAAGAACAGAACTTTAAGTTTTCTGGTAGAGATATCGTTGTGTCGGTAACCAGGGTAACGTGCCGGTAACCAGGGTAACCAGGGTCAGTTCATGTGCCGCTTTGACAGGCTAATTAGTGGGGGAAAAAAGGCGCAGTATTTATTTCTTGTTTGCCAGAAAGTGAATCCCCAGACGTCCATATCATAACACCCAGAATTTAATGGTCCTTATATCACAACAAACAACATAAAGGGTAGTGACTCAAGACTACCAGACCTAGCTGTCAAGTTTGATGTCACTCATATTAGCCTTGACAGTACCTATTCCATATAATTTAGCAATCTAGGATAATGATCTGGTGTTAACAGCTGGTAATAATCATTTAATTGAATAATAATCATTTAATTGAATAATAAGCATGGATACTGACATCCACCAACATTGCATGGAGCAACCATTATACCAACACATGGGATATTTCATATGTCCGCATCAGATATAAGCTACTAGAGTCCCGTACTCCATCAGATATAAGCTACTAGAGTCCCGTACTCCATCAGATATAAGCTACTAGAGTCCCGTACTCCATCAGATATAAGCTACTAGAGTCCCGTACTCCATCAGATATAAGCTACTAGAGTCCCGTACTCCATCAGATATAAGCTACTAGAGTCCCGTACTCCATCAGATATAAGCTACTAGAGTCCCGTACTCCATCAGATATAAGCTACTAGAGTCCCGTACTCCATCAGATATAAGCTACTAGAGTCCCGTACTCCATCAGATATAAGCTACTAGAGTCCCGTACTCCATCAGATATAAGCTACTAGAGTCCCGTACTCCATCAGATATAAGCTACTAGAGTCCCGTACTCCATCAGATATAAGCTACTAGAGTCCCGTACTCCATCAGATATAAGCTACTAGAGTCCCGTACTCCATCAGATATAAGCTACTAGAGTCCCGTACTCCATCAGATATAAGCTACTAGAGTCCCGTACTCCATCAGATATAAGCTACTAGAGTCCCGTACTCCATCAGATATAAGCTACTAGAGTCCCGTACTCCATCAGATATAAGCTACTAGAGTCCCGTACTCCATCAGATATAAGCTACTAGAGTCCCGTACTCCATCAGATATAAGCTACTTGAGTCCCGTACTCCATCAGATATAAGCTACTAGAGTCCCGTCCTCCATCAGATATAAGCTACTAGAGTCCCGTACTCCATCAGATATAAGCTACTAGAGTCCCGTACTCCATCAGATATAAGCTACTAGAGTCCCGTACTCCATCAGCTACTAGAGTCCCGTACTCCATCGACACTTTTCTTTTGTCAGGCGTCCGTTCTTATGTGTCTTCCATTGCAATAAAGGGGGGGGGGGGGCCCCAATAAATAGGTGTAGAGATTAGATTGACGACATACATTACGTTATAGTTCAACATCATCATCAGAAAATAGGTAATGCGCATCTTTTCTGTGAGGTTCATTTTTTAACTCTAATTTGTTTACTGGAGTCGTTATATTTATTCAATTTTGCTGTGGCAGTACTGATAATTTGAGTTTGTAAGAATTATCATCAGTCCGCATTTAATTGCAGGTACTTTCATTCACCCGAGGGCCGAGAGTAGTGCCTTTTAAGATTGATTAGTGCCACAAATAAAGTAAATAAATAAAAGTAGGTACGAACAATTAATGTCACAATCCAGGCGGACTGTAAAATCTATTTGAAATTAAACGATTCGAGCACCTCAATCATCAGCGGTATCATGGCCAGGGGTACCACTATCATGGCCATAAATAGAGGGAGAAAAACATTTGTCTGAGCGGCGCGGCACCGTGAAACTGTAATAACCCGCTTGTTCTGCGCCTTGAAGTAAAATACCCTAGTGGACGATCAAGGAGTTGTTCAAGGAGAAGGACTTATAGCCCAGCCTCTCTTTAAAAAAATTATTTAAAAAATAAAAAAATAAAAAAAACCACCACGTGACAACAACACCAGGTGATGACTCAGACTGGAGAATCATACTCAGTACGTGACCATTAGTCTCGAAAATACCATTTTATAACAGCGGGTGTGTTCCCGTTAACTCGTGCTCCCTTTTATTGTACTGAATCTAATAGCACAGGTCTCCTGGTATCATACCTATTTACAGAGTCTGAAAGGGCTTATTGGGATTGCCTCCTTTAGCATGTTTTAGCTCCAGGAGGGGGGGGGGGGCTGGCATGCTCAAGACATAGTGCTCAGGCGTGGAGATTGTTCCAGTACGTTTGAAATCCGCCAAAACAGATCATTTAAGATTTAGGTTGACTAATGCTACAATATTCAAAAATAATATGTAATGGGCATGCTAGAACCCCGCCCTTAACAACTCCTCAGTCCCCCTATTTTGGATTTATTTATATTCGCCCTTTTGATCGTGCTTGCTTTGAACAGTCGGCATAGCTCAGTATTTTTCACAAAGTATGATAAATTATTTGACCCGTTCATGGAAACCGGGTACTTTTATAAACCCTTATAGAATGTTATAGACTCCTATTTTATAGAATTGTCCGTGATTTAACTTCAGGTGACCCGCTTATTGAAATCAATAATCTCTAAGAACCCTCCTCGACCTAATAGGAACTATCATTGTACCATGAATTCTAAGAATAAAGTGGTCTGATTTGCACCACCACCACCACTTAAAGCACAGCCGCGAAAAGCTTTTAGCTTTTAACGGGTAGCTATCTTTGCACTCAAAGTTTTCTCGACCCCTGGCATACGAACGAGGCCAGGGCCAGGGGTTAATGTGGTCGGTGCAAACAATATTATAATGTATACATTATAAAATTTCTGTTAAATTTCTGTTAATGTCTTTAATGTCGGATCGAGAGCCGCGCGTCACTACCGTGCGTCAGCCTTCATTATTTACAATAACTATAAATAAAGATCTTGTAATCGAGTTTTTAAATTCTGTGGTTACCTGGTTATTTCAATTACTTGGGACAACTTTGTTTTAACCATCTTTCTTTTAAAGAGCTATTCAAATAATAGTGCATCGACTATTTGTCTAGGTTTATTAAGTGGCCGACGGCCGTTGTGTGTCTGTCGTGCCCTAAATAGCCCTTAGATATTTTCCAACTGTGCGTCAATTGTCCATCAGTAGATAACCAAATTGCCCGCTTGAGATTTAACTTCAGACTGAAATTTTCAGCGATATATTATTTTTAAAGATCAATCAAATAATCAGACTATTTAATTCCACCGCAGAAATGAATGAAACAGCTGCTATAAAAGTTGGTGAAATCTACGAAAGGTTCGATGGTCTCTACGCCATGGACTTGGTTCTAGGTATCTTTTTGACCCTATGTGGGGTAGTCGGCCTCCTCAGCAACACTGCCTCCGTTCTCTTCTTCCTCCCAAGACTAGACAAATCAATCCACGACTTGCTCTACCTACTCATCTCTGTTATGGACTTACTGACTTCGATCGGAGCATTTCCAATAATCGTTAGCCTATTCATCGGTAGAGCGCCTGGAATCTTTGCTAATTTCGGATTTTGCTTTCTGTTTGGGATCGCAATATTGTTTGCGCTGAGAATGTCACTTTTCTTAGTCGTGATGATGAGTGTAGTAAGGACACTTGTAGTTATTAAGCCACACTATATTATCAGTAGACGTGGACTTATAATCTCTGTTGTTGTTTACGCTTCATGGTTACTGCTGGTAGACCTTGTTATCCTAGTACAAGGCTCACTTTATATGAAATACTTTTTCACGATCGCTGCTTGCACTTTAGATTTCTATCCAGATAAGCTGTCTTGGGCAATCTTTTTTTGGTACGGATGCCTACAGGTGCAGCTTATGCTTCCACCATTTTTGGTGTTCGTTTCGTTTGCTACCAGTGCTGTTTCAATGTTGAAAAGAAATACACAACGGAGCAGATCTGACGAAAAATTTAAGCGAGCCACCATAACTATATTTTTCTTCACGTCTGTCTTTCTCTTCTGCTACATTCCATGTTTTCTCTACCAACTGGCTCAACTTGTTCACCTCATTTCACCCAACAGTTTCTCGCACAACCTCATTTGGGAGCCCCAATCAATCCTCTACTACACCGGGCGGCTGTGGCTCCAACAGTTGACAGTGTTCCTCAACCCGGCACTGAACCCGTGTTTGTACTTTTGGAGAATGCCTCGGTTTAGGAACTGGCTACTGGCACTAATTCGAATAAACTCGATTAAGCCGGATACGTCTGTTACCAGCAAAAGCTAAAGTACAGCTTATATATTGGAATTTTTGAACATGAGACTCTTTTACGCTTTACAGTTTTTTTGTAATCAATTTTGTGGGAGAACAGTTTTAAAAATGTTTAATAGCAGCTGCCAGCTTATCTGTACTTTCTTTTTTAACAGATTATGTATATAATATATTGCACTAAATTTACTGTCGCTGTTAAATAACTAAAGAGAGTTTCAAGAGCAAAATTATCAAAATCATAAAAATATAAAAAATAATAATAAAACAAAAGTTAATAATGGAACTGACCTCCTCATGCGCCTCCTTCTGAGTAGCAAAAGCGCTGTGACCCTCCTGCCAGAGGAACTCCCTGGTCCTAAGGAAGGGTTGGGGGTGTTTAAACTCCCACCTGACCACGTTACACCACTGGTTGAGCTTGATGGGCAGGTCACGGTGGGATTGCACCCAGGTAGCGTAGGACGGGTACATCACTGAGAGTGCGGGTTAGTTAACATCAGAGCAAGATAAGAGATAGGAGCTCACAAACAATGACGACCCATAATTAGAAGCAAGTGAATTTTTAAAGTTCTCATAAAAAAACTTATAATAATCAACGTAAGTGCAAACTGCAAATGAATATATTCAAAAGTCCCCAAAGTCATACAAAAGAGCATTGTAAACTAACCAGTTTCACTGGTTGGTCGAATAGCAATTGGTTCAGCCAGCTCGCTGTCACCCGACTTCGTAACCCAAGCAACCTCTGGGGCAAAGTCAGCAATGTGAGTCTTTTCTTTTTCAAGGGCAGCGTGGGACACGAACATTGGGAAGTAACAGTTTGTAACACCCATAGCTTTGATGTGGGTATCAAACCATTTCTGATGGAAAAAATCGATTACTTTTGAATCTTCAGTTATAGATTAATTGCAATACTATTGCAAATCTATTATATTTATTAAGTATTATGAAATAGGATGGAAGTGCTTTAACCAGGTGTAGCCAGTCCACACCCTGGCTCCATAATATGAAGGACTTGTTTAAATTCTATACGAAAAGCTGCCACCTTCTCACAGTGAGGTTGATAACACGTGATATGAGGTTGGTAACACGTGACTACAGTAACGCTACCAACAGCCAGTTATGTAAGCAAACCTGGATAATTTCCCAGATGAAGAATGACCATGGTCGGAGGATGTAGCATCCGGAGACGTCGTAATACTCTATCATCTCAGACTTGGTGATTACCTGGTGATATTGTTGATCATCAGGGGATTTGTAAAGTGCATACTTAATCTTGTAAATAATGTTACTAATAACAAGATAACGTTAATCATGTCCTTCGCTGTTTAAGACATGTTTGTAGAGTGTAATTGCTGACACATTCCACAACAAAGCGTTTCAACTACTGTACCTGAGAGTACCAGTTGGGAAGATCTTCAAACTTCTTGGCCTCAATTCCCAGTCGGGTTACACCAGCTTCTATTTTTGGTTTTGGAGCAGGAGCTTTCTTCTCCTTCTTCTTTTGTTTAGCTGGAAATTGTATGGTTCAGCAACTTGTACGAATTATGATTAAATACGATGCACTCCTCAAAAAAGTAAATATATATTGAAAAAAATAAAACATTTCGAGATAACGATAGCATTTATCTTCATCAGGATTCAAGACACGAGTAGAAATAAAAGGAAATACTCCGACTGAAAGGAATACTTACAAGACTGTTGAGGAGCCGCGCCAGGGGGGTCATTTCCAGTCAGTGTCTTGTAGTCAGTCTTTAACTTGAGCAGCTCTTTTACCAAACCTTGTACCTCATCTTTTGAGGCACCGCTTCCTTTTGCAGCTCGCACCTGATAACAGTTTTAAATTTCAAACGCCATCGGTTATCACATATATACATTAGACAAAGAAACCCATTTTATTTGAAAATCAAGAGTAAGTGTTAATGTTATGAGTACTCACTACACAGGAATTAGATCTTATTGCCTTAAAGTTAGATTACCTTGTCTCCTTGCTCCTTGATCTGAGCTTCCAGCTGTTGAGTTGATCCACTATCAGCTGACATGGTCTTTACTGGTTCGCTTGATGGGGCCTTTCCTCCCGCTGGTGCGTCCTTACCTATTACAGTGTTAACATGAGGAAATGAATACTCAAATACTGTTAAAGACTAATTTATCGCCTTGTTAACGAGACGATGAAATCTAGAGAGTGAACTGTTTTGTCTATTGTTAAGTGATGAGAAGTAACAATCCTCAGGGATAAGAAGATTTTTATAATCTCTCAGTTTAAATGGAAGTTCAGTATCCTAACTAGATGTTCGTTTCATTTGATCGTTTCATTTGATCTCAATTAGTTTATCAATCATCTGAAGCGTTTATCGGTATGCCGAACAACACCGCAATATAGATATAGGTTTATTAAAATTTGGGACTTTCCCCACAACTAAATACCTGTCAAAGCCTTATATTCAGCCTTGTGTTTCAGTAGCAACTGGACTGCAGCAGTGACTTCAGGCTTAGGAGCCTTGTTACTCTTCAGCTGCCTTACAACATTTCCTTGCTCGAAAATAGCTTCCAGAATCTTGTCACCGTCGGAGTTGGAGGTCCCTGTAGCAGCTGCTGGTGGAGGTGTAGCGGCTACAGGTGCGGGTTTGGCTGCAGGTTTTCCTCCTGCAGGTGCATCAAGTCCAGTCAAATCCTTGTATTGTTTCTTGAATGCCAACAGCTGATCAACGGCGGGTTTGATCTGGTCTTTTCCGGCCTTTGCTGCTTTCAGATCACGAACAACGTTTCCTTGCTCAGCAATCTGCTCAAGGATCTTGTCTGCGTTACCAGAACTAGCAGGTGTGGGTTTGGCTGCAGGTTTTCCTCCTGCAGGTGCATCAACTCCTGTTAAATCTTTGTATTGCTTCTTGAATGCCAACAGCTGATCAACGGCGGGTTTGATCTGGTCTTTTCCGGCCTTTGCTGCTTTCAGATCACGAACAACGTTTCCTTGCTCAGCAATCTGCTCAAGGATCTTGTCTGCGTTACCAGAACTAGCAGGTGCGGGTTTGGCTGCAGGTTTTCCTCCTGCAGGTGCATCAACTCCTGTTAAATCTTTGTATTGCTTCTTGAATGCCAACAACTGATCAACGGCGGGTTTGATCTGGTCTTTTCCGGCCTTTGCTGCTTTCAGATCACGAACAACGTTTCCTTGCTCAGCAATCTGCTCAAGGATCTTGTCTGCGTTACCAGAACTAGCAGGTGCGGGTTTGGCTGCAGGTTTTCCTCCTGCAGGTGCATCAACTCCTGTTAAATCTTTGTATTGCTTCTTGAATGCCAACAGCTGATCAACGGCGGGTTTGATTTGGTCTTTCCCAGCCTTTGCTGCCTTCAGATCACGAACAACGTTTCCTTGTTCAGCGATCTGCTCAAGGATCTTGTCTGCGTTACCAGAACTAGCAGGTGCGGGTGCAGGTTTGGCTGCAGGTTTTCCTCCTGCAGGTGCATCAACTCCAGTTAAATCTTTGTACTGCTTCTTGAATGCCAACAGCTGATCAACGGCGGGTTTGATCTGGTCTTTTCCAGCCTTTGCTGCTTTCAGATCACGAACAACGTTTCCTTGTTCAGCGATCTGCTCAAGGATCTTGTCTGCGTTAACAGAACTAGCAGGTGCGGGTTTGGCTGCAGGTTTTCCTCCTGCAGGTGCATCAACTCCAGTTAAATCTTTGTACTGCTTCTTGAATGCCAACAGCTGATCAACGGCGGGTTTGATTTGGTCTTTTCCAGCCTTTGCTGCCTTCAGATCACGAACAACGTTTCCTTGCTCAGCAATCTGCTCAAGGATCTTGTCTGCGTTACCAGAACTAGCAGGCGCGGGTATAGCAGCGGGAACTGATGTCGAAAGAGCAGTACTGGGCTTGGCTGTAGCGGCAGGAGTAGGGGGAACCTGACAGAATATTTATAATTATCATACTGAATAGTTTACGGGGTAGTCACGTGATGGTGACAAAAAATGTAATCGCTCTAAGGACAGACAGCATATTCCGCTGCTTAGCCTCACGTCTGCACTCTGCAGCCGCACGGTCCGTGGCGAGCAGCACTAATTTCAATTCAAGCGCGATTTTAAAAAACTGTAACAAACTGGCTTGGAACTTGGAAGTAAGGATAACTTGGGAAAATGGCAACACAAAATAAGTTAAGTGCGATTAAAGATAAGCCGGCTAAGTTAAACGTCAAATAATGATACGTACCCATTACTTTGACGTAACTAAAATCTTTAGCTATGCGCAGCTTTGAAAACGTGTCGAAGATGCATAAAAATGTGCTTCATCGATGCTGAAACGTGCTTTCATTGACTTTGTGTCATAGCGCGTTACGCAAAGTAAGCTGCGCGCGAATATAAAATCACATGGCAACTGACTATCTTACCTGAAGTCGTCCATCTGGTATATTGACGAGCATGCAAGGCATGGGTAGTCCTGTAAACTCACTGGGGGATTTTAGATGATTAAATTTGGGAAGAATAATAATGTAGTGTGTCAATAGAAAGCGGGAAAAGGTTCGCCAGTCTGTACAATGTACAATGTACATGATATTGAACGCTGATAGGGCCGCCATCAAGTTAACCAGTCTGTACAATGTACAATGTACATGATATTGAACGCTGATAGGGTCACCATCAAGTTAGCCAGTCTGTACAATGTACAATGTACATGATATTGAACGCTGATAGGGCCGCCATCAAGTTAGCCAGTCTGTACAATGTACAATGTACATGATATTGAACGCTGATAGGGCCGCCATCAAGTTAGCCAGTCTGTACAATGTACAATGTACATGATATTGAACGCTGATAGGGCCGCCATCAAGGACTGCTTAAATGCTCGTTTGTTTTGACACGTGATAGTAGATTCAAATGCCAAATTCGTTTTGACACGTGATAGTAGATTCAAATGCCAAATTCGTCGCATAGTGTGTTGAACTGTACCCTATTACAGCTCAATCCATCTTTAACTGAATAAAAGTGAGGGTAAACTAACCTGGCGGCTTGGTAAGGACTGTCGCAGATGTAGTAGCCTCTGCGTTGCAGCTGGATGATATCACCTTTCTTAAGGCTGCCAAGACAGGAATCTCCTATGAGCTCCGTCTCAAATACAGTTTGATGGCCAATAAATGATTTGAAATCTTCCTCTTTTCCTGTAAAATATCGGATATAATATTATCATTTTAGTAAATTTGTGCATATTAAGGATTATTCAGGAAGGAGAATTCTAAGTTAATTAATAACAAAGAAATTGACAGTGACTAACCAAGCACTGCTTTAGATATGATGTTATCATAGTGTACAGCAACAGCGGGAATGTTCTGTGGAACATCAGCGAGCCATGTGAGTTTAGCAGTCTTCTTGAAATCAGTATCATCCAGAACGGGCTTCAGAGTGACATCTGTTACCTGATCATATAATTACAGTTACTATTAGTTTCTGCTCGGTCTGAACAATTGTGGGTTTATACTCAAATAGATTACATGGTGAAATGCTATTTATTGCAGATAGTGTATAAAATATTTGTTCCTACTGACCAAATGCCAGGAGACCACTGCAATAATGTCACATTATATCTTATCAACCTCGTGTAACATACCTTGTTATCCGATCTGGAAATGTGATCCACCAACATATTGCCCCAATTGATCATTGTGATCTTCTCTCCCGGCTTCAGATTCTCTGCATCTTCACCTTCCAGGTACACTTTACTACCGTAGTATACATCCTTCTCACCTGAAATTATACAATTATATATAATTATATACAATTATGTGTTGTTAACAGAGATTTGTAATCGTGCGTTTAACAAGTTTTTATCACATTTCTAAGATAAGTGGTAAGAGGGAAAACGAAAACTTGGGTTCCACTAACCAACATCGGTGTTTTTAGGGTGTTTGGCACACTTTTTAACAGAACTCTCGACACCAAGAACCTTTACAGGAACTAAAGTTTCTTTACCCAGACCAGTGAACCTGGAAAATAAACGAGGTTCAATAGCAATCCTCACTTGTATCATCGGTTCTTAATAATCTTTATGAATCTGAATAATTCAAAGATCTATCCGCTAACAAAAAATGAGAACGATCATACAGCGAACACTGCATTGTTGCAAACTTAACAACAAACAAATCATAAAACCACGCAACCCACCTTGGAGCGATTGGATCAATAATTTTTTTGTTGATGGTCCATATTTTGTCCCATCCCATTACCACCACAGATCTAGCGGAGCCTTGAAGAATGATGAACTGCTTTAGAGCCTCCACAGTCATACCTGAATATTTGGAAATCTTTAATAGGAGTCATATAAAAAGGACGATGCGCATGTTTTATTGCTGCTTGGTAACCACTGCTATTCTTACTTTTAATTTATTCAAATAGTCGACTTGTTAGAGCTCAGAAAATATTTGTTAAAGCACATTTCTTAAAAACTACATATTATCACACAGGTTCTTACCACGTCTGAGAATGCCTCGTACAGTCGGGAACCGTGGATCATCCCATCCACTGACCAGCCCCTGCTCAACAAACCACGCTAACTTCCTCTTACTGAAAATAATCTAAATTACATTATATTATTATATTACATTATATTATTATATAACAACGTAAATATTTAAATAATATCAAATACTTATAATCTACAGCGTCAATAAAGCAGGGCGTCCAGATGTCCGGATTTATTATTATCTTTGTTCTATTTTGGGGTTAAGGTGTGAGGTGTGGTTTATCAACTAATGTTGTAGAGAGACGGAATTTATTTGTTGAACTTGCTGAACAATGTTGCATCTTAGGATGGAATTTATTTGTTGAATATGGCTAGACTATGCTGCAGAGTGGGTGAGTTTTACAAAACAATAACATACTTAACTCGGATTATACCACTTTATATCTATTGTTCTATTGAATGGGCTGAGGAGTTTCTATTGTGCTTATTATCAGACACGGAAAAGTAAGCTTATCCCCAATAAACACGGTCAGCTACAGTAGTCATTTCGTTCATTTAGTTGTTATTCATTTGAAGTATTTTCACAAAATCAGGTTGGTGAGATTTTCTAATAATATTAAGTTGGCACTCCTAAAAACCCCTCCATTTTCATCAAACAAGATCTTTTTTATAGATCAAGTCAGTTTATTGAGGGGGGGGGGGGGGGGCAACCCTAGCCAGCTGGTAGTCACAGTGCCATTTACTATTCAATTTATAGTACGAGAATTTTCACTGATCACCACTTTACCAAGTTACCAATTAGATTACTAAGTTACCAATGGGGTTCAGTTCCTTAGGAAGTATCTTAATGACTTAATTGACACCACTAAGCAGTTATTTCCCGCTGCAATTATAATTATCCAATGTTGTCTTCCTATTAAGTGTTTATATTCCTACATAGCAAAGAATGTTCTAGATTTTAATAATCTACTTAAAGACTTATGCCTAAATAATAATTGCGTGTTCTTAGACTGTTTCTCACACTTTTTAACTCGAGACTTTAGATCCTGTAATGAACTTCTATACCATGATTGGCTTCATCTCAACATGAGAGGAGTAGGTTTACTGTCCACTTGGCTTAAGTTTGTTGTAAACGAACACAGTTTTGACAGGGTTGTAAATAATCTTCTGGGAATTTAAATCTTTGATCTTTTCTTTCATTTAATATTTTGATTAAGACGTTGCGCCTAAAATTAAAACTCAAACAAATCTCTGATTTAATCTTTTTTTCAATTTTATGCCTCCTATTTCAGGTACATTCGGTCACTGCCCATTTTCCCATATGTTAGACAATGAATCGTTTAGACTTAGAATAGGTCTTTTTGCATGCAAAAGGCCTCGTACACAGTCAAGAAATGCACATATACATATCAACACGTTTATACCTAACAAAATTTACACATTTAATTCTCCATGCACCCCACACATCAACTACAATTATCATAATCATATGTTTCTCTTCTATTCTCTCATCATGACTTACCTTCTCCCAATTCTTCTCTCCACGACTAGGTCCATGAACACCGTATTCCACCTAGATTCTAATATTCATTCCTCTCTACTCCTTGACAGCCCACGTTATCTTATACCATTTCTTGCTTGCTCCCACATCAAACTTTTCTTTATAATACCTTCCGGGAATTATATCCACTAAAACTCGGGGACACCGAGGGCTGATAATTTGCTCATTTTTCCCGCAAGAGAAGCGAGGGTATTATCAGCCCAGACTCAGACTGGCTGGCGGCAAGTTTCAAAACAAATAACACTGGCGTTCTATATATTAGACACTATATTGTATGATGCGCACGTATCGGATTACACCCCTTCTGCAATCGGAACCGGAACGTATTATAAAATATAATACCTCCGCAACTTCGTGCCCGCAAATTCCCTCCAGCAAGCTGTCGGGAATTATAGCGCGCAGCACTCAGTGGCGGAGGTATTATAGTATTGTAATTATCTCCTCATGGTTTATAAGAAATGTTCTTCTCCCTGGTAAGATGAATAGAGTCAAGTATTCCAGCCGCCTCAGGCGTCTAGTATCTTTATTCATTCTTTGGGTTTTCTCTCTTAACTTTCTTTTGATAACTCTTGTTAATCCTTCTATGCTTAATCCAGGTCCCAACTCCCTATCTGTACTCTACCAAAATGTCCAAGGTCTTATTCCTTTCAGTAACCTAAGCTCCTCCCATCCCCTTCTTGATGGTAATAAGATTTCCGAACTCCAATCCTTTGCTAACATAGAGCAGCCTGACATAATTGCCCTAAATGAGACTTGGCTCAAAAAATCTATTTCTAGCAACGAAATCTTTCCTTCTTCTCAATATGAAATCTTCCGCAATGACCGCACGAGAAAGACTCATCCTCAAGATCCTAATAACCCTAAAAAGTTTAGGGAAAATGGAGGTGGTGTTCTTTTGGCTGTTCGGTCTGATCTCGATGCCACTACAACCCGACTACCAGTTACTAGTTAGCCTAGGTGCAGAAATGCTTGCCGTTAAAATTGCTTTTCCTAACAAAGAGAGTATTGTAATCTGTACTTGTTATAGAGTAGGAACTCTTGGGTTACCTAATCATGATGTCATAGTTAGTTATATTCGCAAGCTAGTTTCCAAAAAGAATCCCCCTAAAATCTATGTTATTGGTGATTTTAATCTCCCCCATACAGACTGGCTATCTTCATCCAGTACCGTACCTATCGAGCAATCCTTCATAGATTCTTTCAGTGATCTTTCTCTCTCCCAGTTGATCACATCACCCACCCATAAAAGTGGTAATACATTAGACATTCTTCTCAGTAATTATGATAACACAATCGATAACTTGAATGTCTGTGATCCTCATTCCGTGTGCAAATCTGATCATTTTCCTGTCACTTTTTCAATTAAAAGCTCCTTTTCCCGCAAGAAAACTCCTAAACGTAAAATCTATAATTATAAGAAAGCAAACTGGGACATGATTAATCGTGAATTATGCTCTATTAATTGGCAAGTCCTAGAATGCCTAGATCCTGATTCGTCTTGGAAGTTAGTTAAAGACTGCATTATGAATTTAGTTGATATACATATTCCTAAAGTAACTATTAAATCAGAGTTTCAACCCCCGTGGTTCGATAGTGAACTTTTTTCTTCATGCCGTAAAAAAGATAGACTCAGAGCTAAATTTAAAATTTCTGGTTCTATTTCTGATGAGTTAAAGTTTGTTACTAGCCGTAAAGATTTTAAGAGGCTTTCATCAGCCAAAATAAGAGACAATCTTTTCAATAGTGATGATCCAGCGCTTATAACTAAGAAGTTTTGGTCACATGTTAAGTATAAATCTAACTCCTGCCGTATTCCTAATTGTGTTAGTTATTCTGGACAGCTTCGGTTCAAACCCAAAGCTCAAGCTGAACTTTTCAATTCTTTCTTTTATAACCAGTTTTCGGATCCTTCACTTTATGACACTGACATCTCCTATGTCAATGATGTTGATTTTGATATTGACTTCGATCATCGGGATGTTCGTAAGCTTCTTTCAAATATTAATTCAAATAAAGCCCAGGGACCAGATGGCATACACGGTAAAATTCTCAAAAATTGTTCCGTAGGTTTAGCTTACCCTCTAACATGCATTTTTCGTGGATCTTACAACAGCGGCTACATTCCACAAGAATGGAAACTTGCAAATGTTGTCCCAATATTTAAGAAAGGTAAAAAAAGTGAGGTTGAAAACTATAGACCAATATCCCTTACTTGTTTAGTCATGAAAGTTTTTGAGCGCATTGTTAAACGTAAACTGCTTTCTTTGACAAGTACCCTTCTTGATCCCAGGCAGCATGGTTTTCTAGAGCACAAGTCATGCACAACCAATATGGTTGACTTTTGTGATAGCCTGGCATTGTCTCTTAACGAAAACATTATCAATCATGTTGTGTATTTTGATTTTGCTAAGGCATTTGATTCTGTAAATCATGATATCCTTCTTCATAAGCTAAAGACCTTATATAACATTGATGGTACACTTCTCAAATTTCTTACCAATTACCTTCAAGGCCGTTACCAAAGAGTGGTTATTGGTAATGAGATGTCATCTACCCTCTCAGTTAATTCTGGTGTCCCCCAGGGCTCTATTCTTGGTCCCTTACTTTTTGTATTGTTTATCAATGATATTCCTCTTGGCCTTTCGGATAATACTGATATTGTTTTGTATGCCGATGATACAAAAATCTGGCGTAAAATACATTCATCTTCTGATAATACTAATTTACAAATGGATATAGACTATCTCTCTGACTGGGCACTAAGAAACAAAATGCGATTCCATCCAGCAAAATGTAAAGTGCTTATTGTTTCAGGAAAACCATCTTTATCTCCTCCATTCGCATATAATCTTGATGGCTCTCCTCTTGTGTATGTAGAGTTAGAAAAAGATCTTGGAGTCGATGTTACTCCTAAGCTAAGTTGGAATAGTCAGTGCGACAGAATTTATACTAAGGCCTGCCAACAACTTGGTATGGTCAGAAGAGATGGCCATACTGTCATTGATCAGAAACGTCGCCGGGCGCTTTACCTCTCCCTGGTTCGTAGCCAATTCGAAAATTGTTCCATAATCTGGCGCCCTTGTAATAAATCACTTAGTGATAAATTAGAAAGTCTCCAAAAGAGAGCTATTAAATGGATTCTGTCTGAAGAGGGCCGCAGTTATCCACCTGAGCAATATGTCAAAAAGTGCAAGCTTGTCGACATTCTCCCTTTGTCTCAAAAGTTTGACTTGAATGATCTTATTTTTTTCCACAAAGTTCTTAACAATTTAATTCCTGTTTCGCTGCCTCACTATCTCTCTTTATATCAGGGCACTTCTCGACTAAGACGTTGCCACCTCGACAGTCTGTCTATTGTGTCATCAATTTTACCTAAGTTAAGTCAGAATTCACACACCACATGTACCTCAAATAGCCCACTGGCAAAATCATTTTTCTACAGAACCCATATACTGTGGAATGGACTCCCTTTACAGGTAAGACAGATTGTGTCTACTAGTCTTTTCAAAGCTGAGGTCACTAAGCATCTATGGAAATGTT